CTTGGGGTGGGGCAAGGCTGACCTTCTGTTACGAGCTTGGATTTTATGAGTTGGAGCTCCAAGCATCCTTGGCACCTATCCTTTCCTGTCATAAACTTAAAATGCACACATTAAAACCAGCGCTCTTGCGCTTTTCTCAGGGTGGTAAGCCAAGTCAGTTACCACCCCAGATGGTTAGGGCTTGGCTTGGTAGAACCTAGGTAGAGGGAAGGCACCGTCAGTGTTCCTTGTGTATTTATTGCGTGTGTTTGTGTGTGGTGTGTGTACAAGTGTGTATGCATGCCTGCAAGCATGTGGCCTGGCTGTGCCTGTGCATGTGTGCCTGTGGAAGCCACTTATTGTCATCATTCTAAACCATTATTGATAATCAACATTTTCATAGTCTTTTTTTTTTTCCAGTTTATAAAATTGTTCTCATCACTAGGATGAGAAGGAAGGGGAGGAGAACCTCCTCTATCAGTGGATTGGGGGAGGGGCATGGGTGGAGAAGGGTTGGGAGGGGAGGAGGGAGGGAGCTACAAAGGGGGATACAAAGTGAATAAACTATAGTTAATAAAAATAAAATTGAAAGGCCTTGATGGCTATGGTGATTCATGCCTTCAGTGCTTCACCTGGAGCTTGAGGCTAAGGAGCTTGAGTTCAAGGCTGGCCTGGGCTACATAGTGAGAGTCTGAAAAGCAAAACAAAAGTAAGAAAACAAGTAAAAAAAAAAAAATCAGGTTTCAAAAAATAAAATTTAAAAAAGTAAAAAAGAGAAAAAAATGCTCTCATCGTATCTCATCATATTTAACTGATAGCTCATATTTAACTGATATTGACTCGGGAATAGGTTTGGGTAGATGACAAATGAAAGAAAGGCCTTCTGGGAAAGCCCTAGAAAGGATTAAGAGTAGAGGAGTAAGCATGCATTGTCAGTGGAGGTGATGTCACGCCAAGGGGATGGAAATGGGTTCCGGAAGGGAGCAAGAAACTTAGAAATGACAGTAGCCTGTGTCCTCCATGGGGCTACTGAACATGGCAGGTGGATGAATTTGAGCTATTTCATGGGGGGTGGTGAAGATTAGGAAAAACATGTCTATAAAGCTCTTGACGGGCCAGCAAGATGATTCAATAAGTAAGGGTGTGTGCTGCCAAGCCTGGTGGTCTGAGTTCAATCCCTAGCATCCACCTGGTGGGAAGAGAGAGCCAACTGACTCCCACAAGTTGCCTTCTGACCTCCACATGCATGCTCTGGTAGGTGTGCACCACGCCCCCTCAGCTACCTGCCCACGAACCTGTACACACACAAGTAAAGAACTACACGTAAAAACAATGTTTTAGAAGTCAGACACTAGAGGTTGGTGAGGGTGTCAGTGTGGGAGGCTGATGGCGGAGAAAGATGCAGAAACACAGGTGAGGGAGCCCAGGGCCTGCGGTGCCCTGAGAGCCTGCTGGCATCGAGGACTGAGTCGCTTGTCCTCAGAGTCTGCTACTCTCCCTACCCACCACTTCTTTCCATCTTGCTCAAGGCTCTCCACGGCCATGTTTGGTTCTCTAACCTTTCCTCTTCTGGTCACAGCTGCCTGAATTAATAGGGGCATGAGATGCAGGTTAGGGCCCAAACCAGAGCTGTGGGTGCCAGGCCCGAGGCAGTCTGCCTGCTCATCCATCTTGAATTCCTTTCTCTTCACCTTCCACGGCATGGCTTTGCACTTTATATGAGGAAAGATTATCCTTTGGGAATTTGATACATATATACAACATGTTTTGATCATAACCGTCTCCTTTTTCCTAATTCCTCCTGGATTTCCCCTTCCAACTTCATGTCTTTTTTTTTTTTTTTCTTTTCTTATTTTTTGTTTTTGAGATACGGTTTCTCTGCATACATAGGCCTGGCTGTCCTGGAACTCTCGCTTTGGATCAGGCTAGCCTCCAGTTCAGAGATCTGCCTGCCTCAGCTTCCCAAGTGCTGAGATTAAAAGTATGTGCCACTGTTCCTAGCTTTTTTTTTTTTTTTAGTGATTCATGGGGCCCACAATTATATCCAAATGTTTATGGGTGTTAATCTAGCACATAGATAATTTTGTTGGGAGCCTCAGTCCAGAAGAAAACAGACTTTTCTCCCAACCTATTCTATCACTCCGCTGAGATGGCTAAGGAAGGGCTCAAAGCCCTGGGTATGACCTCTCTCTAGGCAGGACATGAGGTCTGGCAGCACAATCATTTGGATGGGAGTAAAGAGATCAAAGCCTTTTGGAGGGGGTTCTTGGTGGCTGCTTTGGACCGGATGACTCTCTCCTCTGGGAAGCTTCTTGGTTCACCGCCCTTCCTGTCATGCCTGTACCTGGGGCCATCATGATACTGAGCCCAGCATAGCCTCATAGACCCTGTTTGGCTTTGTTTATGCTGACACTGGCACTTGTCTGGGCATCTGTTCGCCGTGTCTGCTTGGTGTGCTCCCCTATTTCGAGAGACTCTCTTCCGAGCTAATGACTGTCTCGGACTTCTGTGACATAGCTCCCCCCTCATTCCCTGACCTTGTACTCTGCTCTAACGAGGACCCAATCATTGTTTGTTTCCATCTGCCCAAACTTGTTCTCAGCACCAACCCCAGCACATTTCCTGGCATTTGGTAGAGCCTGTTAGATGTACGGAATGAATAAAGATGTGCTTGACAGAATGACCTGTCCATACTGGGGCTACTGTAAGTACTCATCCTCTGGAGGGCCAGAGATATGTGTGAGAAGACCGTTTACTCCAGAGACCGCCTGCCAGCAGAAGGGCCAGCACCCCGGGCTTCCTGACTGATGCCTGTCAGAGGTTTATTGCTCAGTGGCCTAAGTCACACATACTCATTCAACAAGCTTTGCTTTCTTAGTCTGTGAAAGTAATTCCATAGAATTACAATGATATACATACAGACATTATGCTTAGGATTAGACATAACAAATCATATGTGAATTGTAAGCTATAACTTAAAAAAAAAATCCCAGATTAACACCAGGTCAGATTTGGTACAAAAATCACCAGAAATTTATCCTAACTCTCTATAACCACTATTCACCAGTTAAAAAAAAAATAGTTTTAATTAAACTTTGTTAAAATGTTAGCAATTGCTGTCATTACATTGAAAGTGAAACCACAGAGGAATTATAGATAAAATTAGTTAAATTGTAGTTGAAGTAACCTATTGCTCTCTTATTTTTTAAAATGTATTTATTTATTGTGTATATGGGTGTTTTGCCTGCATATATGTTTGTATACCACATGCATGCCCTGGAGGCCAGAAGAAGGTGCTGGATTCCTTGGGACTGGAGTTTCAGAAAGTTGTAGGCCATCGTGTGGGTGCTAGGAATTGAACCCGGGTCCTCTGGAGCAGCAGCCATCTCTCTAGCCCCTTTGCATTATTTTTTGAGATGCGGTCTCTCATTGAGGCTGGAGCTCATACATTTGGTCAGGCTAGCTGGCCAACGAGCTTCAGAAAGCCTACTGTGCCCTCCTGTACAGCAGCTCTGAGATCATAGCCGCATACCACCACGCCCATCATCTTAACGTGGGTTCTGGCCCTCTGACCTCAGTTCCTCTGCATGTGTGTCAGTCAGTTTACCAGCTAAGCCATCTCTCCAGCCCCATGTTCTAAGCTCTTGAGGAGTTTTGAGAGCTGCTTGGGTTTGACATTGGAATAAACGTTCTCCTTTGAAGCAGTATAGAAATCAACACCAACCAACCCTGTTAGCAAAGGCAGCTGGCTACTCAGGTCTCTCAGATAATGGGGCATTTGGTTGCTGCTCAGAAGAAGGGAGGGGGAAAATTCTGACCTGACACTGAGGAAGCTTTATAAAGTGAAAAACAATTACAAGCTAAAGGGAAATCCAAAATGGCAGAAACTGTCAGGTTTGGAATAAAGGAGTTATTCATTAAAAAAAAAAAGTCAGAGCTCAAAATTACAGACCTCTATGGATACTGTGTGTGTGTGTGTGTGTGTGTGTGTGTGTGTGTGTATACACATGTGCAGGTGCCTGTGAATGACAGGAGACAGAGTTGGATCCTCAAGTTGGGAGTTATAGGAGATTTGAGCCACCCGACAGAGGCGCGAGGAGGTGGGAGGGGAGGCTGAACTCAGGTCCTCTCCAAGAACAGCATATTCTCTTGGCTTCAGCCACCTCTCCAGCCCCGCCTGTAGCTATCTCTCTTTGTTCTTGTCACCCAGCTGTAGCAGTGATGGAGAGACACAGTCTCAGCACGTCTTGGGGCCAGGAGGCAAGTTCTGTTGCTGCCTAACTTGGGAGCACTTTGTGCCAGGAGAAGTCCCGAGGCCCTGGAGAGCCAGCTGGGCAGAGCGGTGAGCATCCAGAATCGGACACCGAGAGGCTCTGATCCCACTAGACTTGAGGAGGTCTGGCAGGGTGCATTTGTACCAGCTGGTACAGACGCCCAGCTGATCTGGGGACATCCGCAAAGACTGGGAGAACAACTTTCCTTACTAGGGGAGGAGACTACAAGAGACAGGAGAAGATGAAGTCTAGAACTGAGGTCTTCTGGCTAAGGAATTAGAGTAAAATAATTATCTGTAGAGACCGCAGACAGATACACACAGTACTACATGAAAGGGCGGAGTTTCCGGTTGTCAGCTGTTGTCATTTGAATATACAACATCTCATATAGGCTTGCGAATTTCAACACTTGGTCCCCAGTTGATGGTGCTGTTTGAGAAAATTACAGAAATCCCAGAAGGTGGAACCTTGCTGGAGGAAGTAAGTGCCTGGGGTGGGTTTTCAGGTTGTATAGCCTGGCCCGACTTCCTGTTCTCTCCCTCTGATTCCGGTGTGTGGATGAAATGTGATCTGCCATCCCCATACCCCTGCTACCCTACCTGTATCCCACTGGGATTATAAAGCCCAAATAAACCCGTTCTTCTCAAAGTTGCTTTCTGCCATGGTGTTCTATTGCAGCAACGGACAAGTAGCTGACACATCTGCCCCCCACCAGTTCTTCAGACAACAGAGACTCAATTCACCATCTGACTCCAAAAGTAGTAGTGATTTTTATATACATGTTAGATAATAGCAAAAGAAAACAAAAACCTCTACAAAGGTGATTATGTTCATTGTTAGGACCCCATGAGAACAAGCATTGCCTACTGGCACTTAAAAGACATACTCGGGAATCCAAAACGGAAGCTGAGGTTATAGTTTTTGTATTACTGGAGGTCAGAGTCAGGGAAACACCGAAGGGGGTGCCGTCCAGACCAGCCACAGCTTGGCCTTGCACTCTGGCCCTGTTGTGTGGGGACTTTGCTTTCTGTTTCTGATATGGGGAGGTTTATGGACTTGCTCCACAGATACTGCGTGGTGACTCTCACAGGCCTCCAGGCCATGGTCTCTGAGGTATGCACAGGCAGGAAGGCCAAGGAAAGGAGAAAGCTGGTAGACTCAAAGATTCCCTTTTCAAAGTCTTTTCAAGGTAGAGAATGCTTCTTGGTGTTTAGGCCCAGCTGCAGTGTAGACCTGGGTATAGATACAAAAAGACACTCCGCTGCTTGGGGCTGTGGAGGAATGGGCACTCGGTTTGCTCATCTAGAGATGCTTTAAGTCTTCCCATCATTTAATGGAGGTGAGGCTGGAACCGGCTGGGGCAGATGGGCCTCCTCAGCCTTCTCGGAAGACCTACCCCAAAGTGTGGGAGGAAGACATCAGATCCAGCGACAGGTTGCCCTGCTCCCGTTCCGATAGAACCTGGAGGTATCCCAGCAGATCCATAGCTTCACCACAGACATCTTGAAGCTGAGACACCTTTTTATAAGGTAAGGACCAACGCCATGCCTGGGAGACATTGAGGGCATCCCTGGCGTTGGTGTGGAAGGCGTGCTGACCCATGCCCTTGCCACGGGTGACGTTGTGAACCCAGGTTTGGAGATGGGGCAAAAATTTCAACCCCACAAATTTGTATATTCTGGAAGTCTGGGCCAGGGGTGCCCGAACCAGGTCCTCATACCTCAGGAGCAGGAAGCGTTGTTGCAGAGCTTCAGGCAGGGTTTGGATGGCCTTGACTATGTCCACCTGGCTTTTGCAGATGATCTCCATGGCATAGTAGGGCTGGTCTTCCTCCTTGATCATTTTCAAATGCTCCCCCAACACAATATGACTGTCAGTCATGAGTTCTGCTGTGGTGTGTTCTCGGGATCGGAATACAGCCCGAGGGTCTCGGACCAGGTGCACAATGTGCAGGTTGAGGGAAGGGTCTGTGAGCAGCGGGTAGAGGGCCTGCAGGTTGAAGAGACGCACCTCCTTGAGTACCACATGGCTGTGGGAGCTGCAGGCCTTCTCCACCATATCGAAGGGCTGCTGACCACAGAGCAGCCTGCAGTGCTTAGGTGAGCTGATCTGGTCGCCAGGGAAGAAGTCACAGACGGGCGATGAGCACAGGGCCCGGCTTTGCTCCCACTGGAAGAGGCTGGACTGTTTCCGGGGGCCCGGCTTCATGTAGGCATCAAAGACACTCATGTCACACAGGAAGACGGAACGCAGAAGGTCCCGTACGGCCATGTGCAGCCTCCAGGCTGTGCTGCTGGTGAAAGTCATCCACACGTGCCAGGCGGGCTCCATCAGGTAGAAGACATCCGGGTGCTGCCCAAAAAGCTGTCCCACGAAAGAGGATCCTGACCGCCAGGAAGACAGGACCAGAACATGCACAGGCCTCCTGGGCTCCTCCTTCTGGAACAGGCTCCTATGGCCGGTTATGTGGAGGAAGAGTGCTACAACTATCATCTGGGAGCCCAGGAACATCAGCAGCCTGACCTTCTTAGGCAGCAGCATCCTGCGGAAGTAGAAGACCTTTAAAGGGCAAGCAGAGGGGATGGAGCTGAGGTAGCCTGCTACGGCATCTACCTTCTGGCTTCTCCTGGACCCGTTCAGAAACTTCCTGTAATCGCTTGTCCAAATCTCTCTGCAGAGTAATTTTGGTGTGCGTGTGTGTATAGATATATGTGTATGTCTATATTTCTGTATTTTTAAATTTTATGTGCATTGATGTTTTGCCTGAGTGCATGTCTGTGTGAGGACATCAGATCTTGGACTTACAGACAGTTGTGGACTGCCATGTGGGTGCTGGGAATTGAATCCATGTCCTCTGGAAGAGCAGTCAGTGCTCTTAACTGCTGAGCTACCTCTCCAACCCTTAGTTCCTTGTTCTTATTGGATCATTATGTTCTGTGTTTTACAGTCTTTAAAATTTCACCTCCTAGTCTAGCTTGTCCATTGAACCACCAAGAATACCCCTCCTCAGCTATCTTTCATCAATATCAGCACTGCCACAGCCCACATCTTCTACATCCCTGACAGAGTGTGGCCTTGTAAGCAAAGCTGTTGGTCTGACCAAGTCCTGATTGAACACCTTATGATCCTCCCCAAATGAAGGGGAGCAAGACACTTAGCCATCAGTTACCACCAGGCTACTCCTCACCCATTCCTTCATGGGAAGGAGAATCCCACAAGGCCAGTCCTCATCCCTCCCCCATTTTGATGAGGCCTGGGACCATCCCACACTGAAGTCTTCTGAGGCTGGGGCTGCAGGCGATCCCCCCTGGCTTTAGAGTTGTCTCCTTCGTGGCACAACCACACATTGCATATGGCATCGGGCTCCTTCTGATTTGGCCTCATCCCATGGGACTAAGACCATGGTGGAGCCGATCCCAAACTGACTTCGTGTCTATGCGTGAGATAAATGATCTGAACCCGTGTCAGCCGGACCAGTGTCTCCTGACTAGTTGACTCTCCAGAGAGTGAACAGGCTTGCGGGGAGGGCAATGGCAGTGAAACCTGTGGCTGTTTGATCTCAGGGCTTCAACTTGGGAAGTGCCTGGCTGCTTTGACAACCTAACTCACGGCCACTCAGCAAGGTTTGGCAAGTTGTCCTCCGCAACACCAGAGAATGCCAAGAATTCAGATGTTCATTACACAAAATAATAGCAGCAGAAGGTGTTAGGAGGGTGTTCCAGTAGCTGGGTTGTCACTATTTAAAGAACATGTTTCCATTTGCAATTTGCATAAAAACTCCTAAGACTGGTCGAATACTTGACCTCACTCTTTTCACAGTGAGGTCTGATTTCATATAAAAAAATACCCTCAGGTATGGCCCTTGGTAGTGGGAGGCCTCATACTTCTGAGTTTATGGGTAGCACAAATTGGACTTGATGCGTTGTTTAAAAAAAAAAAGACAGAAAAAAAAAGTAGGGGCATGGGGGAGGATCGTATGCATGTATGAAATTCTCAAAGAATTAATTAAAAACCATACAATAAAGAAAAGTGTCTATTTCAATGCAGAGAGAGGGAAGAAGAGAGAGGCAGAGAGAAAGAGAACAGGAGAAAACCAGCCCCTGCAATTTGTCTTCTGACCCCCATAGAGCCATGCACACATATACAACCATAAACATATGTACATACATACACACATATGTACAAATATAATTAAAAAAACAATAAAAATATTCTGGTACCAAGTTCCATGCTGCTGTATCCCTCCCAGATAGTTTTAAAAAATCACTTGTTTTTATTTTATGTGAGTGTTTGCTTGCATGTATGTATGTGTACACATGCGTGTTATATGTAAACTAGGTGCCTGTAGTGCCCTGGAGACCAGAAGAGGGTGTCTTCCGGGTCTGCCTGGGAATTAGTGTTACAGATGTTTGTGAGCCACCATGTGGGTGCTGGGAACTGATCCCTAGTCCTCTGTAAGAGCACCCATGCTCTTAACCAGTGAGGCATCTCTCTAGCCCCTCTTAGAGGTTTTCACGCTCTTTTCTGCATTAGTCAGGGCTGAATGACTTCTTGACATAAATAACCGAGACACGCGAGCCATCACACAGCATAAATACGAATGGAACAAGGTGCGAACTGGCATAAATCACCATATATCCTACAGATCCTCCCTTGCAGCTTTAGTAAAGGAGGGAAGGGGCCTTCTATCTTCTTTATGGCAGGTCTTCTCAGCAATTACAAGACCCTCTCTGGGGGGCGTGCATGCCTATAATCTCATCTATACAGGAGGCAGAAGTAGGAGGGTTGCAAGTTCGAGGTCTGCTTGCACAACTTAGTAAGGTCCTCTCTCTCTCTCTCTCTCTCTCTATATATATATATATATATATATATATGAGATATATGAGGCTACATGCGTATGTCAGTGGTGGAGTATAGGGAGCAGAAGTCCTGAGTGAAGTGTGAGGAGCGGGTGAAGCCTTTTGAATGAGTGTGTATTGTTGACATGAGTATAGTCACGTCAAGAAACCCAGCTCCTCTGAGCCATGAAGATGGCAAGAGTCCTTTGCCCCCAGTACAAATGTTGACAGTTTGTGCAGAAAGCATCAGCTCTCTCCTGGGATGTTTACATCCCGAGACCCCCGACTAAGACTGACTAACCCTTTCTTTGTATAGCACATAATAAATACGACGGGATTTGGGGCTATGCTGTAGTGTCCTCCATCAGGGCGCACACAATCCCAGCTTTTGTATATTGTTTCTTCATTCCCACATCAGCCCCAGTCAGGTGTCCAGGAGACTGAGCTGCACAGGACACGGCAGCAGAGCAGCTGCCTAGCAAGCGCAAGGCCCCCAGGGCTGATGAAAACTTAAGCGTTGTTAGAGATTAGTTTTTCATTTTCAATTTCCCAGAACTTAACCCCCCCCTCCCCCCAAGGAGTCAGCCTGACCTGAGGAACTGTCTAGATCAGGCTGCCTGTGGGCCTGTCTGTGGGGGATTGTCTTGACTGTCAAGAGAATCCACCCTAAGTGTGAGCACCATTCCTCTGTGATTTCTCTGCAAAAAAAGGATGGTAATAAGCTCCTCCTTCCCCTAAATTGTTTTGCACAGGATGTTTTCTCACAGCAACAGAAACAAAAGATTGAGCAGGAGTGGATAATGTGTCTGTGCTCCTAACTCTAGGAGGTTCTTTTTGTTTCCCTCTTACTGGCGTCTCCTTTCAAAGATGTTATGTTTTTTTTTTTTGCTGGTTTGTTTTGTTCTAATTTTGAGATAGGCTGCCCTTGGTCTTACTATGTAGCCCAAGATAGCTCTAAACTCCTGGTGATTCTTCTGCCTCAGCTTCCTAAGAGCTGGAATCACAGAAATGAGCCACTAAGCCCAGCTTTTTAAGTATTTGTTTTTATTAGGATATTTTAACTCTACAAAAGAATGAGCCTCACAAGGTCATTTAGTACACATTGGTGATATGCTTGGGTAATATTCTGCCTCAGTACTCTCTCCTGTACTCCATCACCTTCCCACTGACCCTCCCTTATTTGCTGTCATCCACCCACTGACCCTCTCAGTCTAGTCATCTTTCTACCTTTACATCTTAAAAAAGTATTTTCAGAACCCACTGAATTTAATTAGAATAGGAATAGTGGGTGAATATAATTAAATGTTATATACATATAACATTTGAAAATTACCCTTTGAAATTGTCAAAGGGTAAAAAAATAATAAACAAATGTCCTGACAGTCTACTCAAGTGGGGTGTTTTTAACAGGAAATTTTTACATGGGGCTCAAATTGTTTTGAAAAAGCTTATTCTCATAGACATGAAGTCCACAGAGTAAGAACTGAAAATGTGGCTTTCTTAAGTTTCTGTGCAGGAGTGGGAAGGAGCCCTGCCGGCCGTAGCCTGGTCCGTTCAGAACCTAGGTCTCTGACTTGCCAAACATCAAGGGGAGATCATGCTGTAAGCAGTTGGGTCTTTGGGGGAAGTCAGAACACGCCTCGAGTGCAGGGGTACATGACGTATCTTCCAATGGGTCGCAGTGTTTTCCTAGGGGGAGAGAAAACCTAAGCATCTTTTCAGCTGGAGACTCGGTGAACGTGTCCCTCTGTGTAAGAGCCAGCGTTGGTCTTGTTGTTGGCACACAGTGACAGGTCTGCCTCCAAACCTGCCTAAGCACCAGCTCTCCTCTACACAACGGTGTGCTCAAATTTTATTGTGTCATTTCAGTTGCTTTCTCTACACACAGGAGGTTCAAACGTTTGTACAACCTTAATATTTTCCCTCTTAAAAAGGTGTCCCTCCCTACCCAGAGCAGGTTTTTTTTTTTTTTTATGTCTTGGGGGACACAGAAAACACAAAGCATTTCCTTGTTTCTTTTTATCACACAGAATTCTATTGTATGGACACACAATTTATCTAACCAAGGGCTCCTGGGTTGTTTCCAGGCTCCCTTTATTTCAAAAGCTTTAGTCACGAGCTTCTTGTCTACACACTTGTAAGATTAAATCCCCAGAAGTGTTTAGTCAAAAAGTGTGTGTGTGTGTGTGTGTGTGTGTGTGTGTGTGTGCCTGACTTACACAGCCATTGCTAAGCAGCTTTCATGCTGCCTGTGAACAAGGAGGGAGATATTGGAGAGTTGGTTTGAAGAGAAGGAGGCAGCCACAGAGATGATTCTTGGAGTTTGTAACTTGCTTCCTCAAGAGCTAGGACATGCTTTGCCAGCTCTCCGGCTTCCCTTGGAAGTCCCCTTTAACATTCTGCAAGTGTGTCATGACCCTTGCCAGACTTTGTGTGCACTGGCTACCCCTGCCTCACCCCGGCTCCCGCCATCTCTCCCACTCATTGTCAGCCATGGTTTTCCTCTGGATGTACCCAGAAGATCAGATGAGGATCAGTGCTCTTTTTTATTATTATTATTAATTATTATTTTTGTATGTGTGTGCCTATTTGAGTGAGGACCATAATAAAACTTTTGGCATCATTTCATTCTTCATGAATCGCTCCCCTCTCTCTCACACTTTCTGACAATCAAACTCAGGTCTTTTGTGTTCTCAAGGTGAGTGCTTTGCTGTGGATCTATCTGTCTAGCCCTCGTCTCTTGTTTGTGGGTAAAGTATTCCCATCACTTTTCCAGGCTCAGTACTTAAGAGCACTTGCTGCCCAGGCATGGGGACATGCGTTCATATCCCCAGCACCCACAGAAAAGCAAGGCATGGCCATCTGGGAGAAGAGAGACAAGAGACAAGAGAATGCCTTGGACTTGTTGGCCCCAGTATCGAGAGAGAGGTCCTAACTTAAGGGACTATGGAGGAGGGTAACGGACACTTGACACTTGACACTTGCCCTGGTTTCTGCATGCGTGACTGTGGCTTGCTCACCTGAACTCACATGTTCGAGTACAGCCCTCCCTCCGTGCCCATGATGCCATTACGGGGGGGGGGGGAGGGGAGAGGCTGCTGTCAGTGGATGGCACTTCCTGTCTTGTCATCTGAGCCCCATGGTTTAGGAGATGGCCAGTTTCTAAAACTGAAGCCCAAGAGGGAGCAGTTAGAAACTATGCCCTTATCCATCCATTCTTGATTACGGTTTAAACCCAGTTATCCCCAAGATAGAGAGCTTCTCCCGAGGGACAATTTGAGTTGGAAAAATGCTGTAGAACAAAGATAAGAAGCAGTGGAGTGCTGGGAGGAGAAAAGTCAGAAGAGGAGAACTCAACCTGTGGACATCCAGAGATGGGGTCAGAATTTTACAAGCCGGTCCTGTGCCCGCTTCAGCCCAAAGCTAACATCCCCTGGAACTAGGAAAGCAGGACTTTCCTTCTATCCCAGCCCCGGCCCAACTCTGTCCTGCAGGGATTGATGGTTCTTCCTTGTCTGCCAGCTGTCCCTGGCCAAAAGCCAGGCCTTTTCTGTATATTCTCTGTATATTCTTTTCCTTTTTTTTTTTTCCCCAGGGTGGTGGGGTAGGTGTTGGGAGGGACCTGGCACCCTGTTCTTGCTCTTCTATCATGGAGCCACATCCTTTGCATAAGCCCTGGCCAGAAAGAGAAAGCTTTTGTGAAGCTTGTACTGGTCCCAGGTCACCAGGCTCAGAACAGCACCTGCTGGGCAGTGGGGGTCCGGTAAGGGGTGGGAGGGGCTACCCAGCCCACTAGAGAGCACTCTAGTGCACATCTCGAGCAAAACGTCTGAACTATAGAGGCGGGGGACACTTCTGGGCCCTTGTGCCCAGTGAGGGTGCTGGTGACCTGGTATTTAAAGAGGCTGGCTGGATTAGCGGTCTATGGCCTTAACCACTTGGCCACCTCGTCCCGTTGCAAAGCACCCATACACATTTTGAAATTAATATATTATTTAAAAATTTGAACCGCTATGTAAAATATTAAAAAGGGTATGAGTTAGTAGGGTCTCAGGTGCTATATCAATCCAGTATACTTTTTTACACTATCATTTTTTTTTTTTTTTTTTTTTTTTTTTTGCCTAGTGCCTGTGGAGGCAAAGGATGGCAGGGGATCGTCTGTAACTGGAGTTACAAATGGTTGAGAGCATGTGCCTTTTGGGAAACAAATCTGGGACCCCGGGAAGAGTAACAAGGGCTCTTAAGAATGGAGCCATCTCTTCACCCACTAAAGAGACTTTGTAAAAAATCTCAACATCTGCATATACATGATTTTCCTCTGTCTTTTGTCCAGTGGATATAAATTTATAAAATTGGCAATATATATTACTTGCTAAAACATTTGTGTAATGATTTAGGTAAATATGTTAGCTGTTTTTTACATTTGTTGAAAAAACAAAAACGGGAGCTTGGTGCAAAAAAAAAAAAAAAAAAAGAGGCTGGCTGGAGAAAATGTTCCAGTTTCAGCCTGAATCACACTCTTCTGATGCTGGAATTCCTCTCTGCTGGAGGTGCTGGCATTTCCCTCTTGTCTCTCAGCCCTCCCCATCATACAAGCTGAAACCCAAATCCCTCGGCCTTGAGCCTAGGGCCTTCCTTTGCCTGTCCTTTGATTTCCTGCTTCTCCTTCCTTTTCTAAAAAATATTTACTTATTTATTATGTATACAATATATGCCTGCAGGCCAGAAGAGGGTTCCAGATCACATTATAGATGGTTGTGAGCCACTGTGTGGTTGCTGGGAATTGAACTCAGGACCTCTGGAAGAGCAGCCAGTGCTCTTAACCTCTGAGCCATCTCTCCGGCCCTTCTCCTTCCTTTTTTACACCTCTAGCTTCAGATTCAACTTTATATTTCTGAGACAGGGCTTCTCTGTGTAGCCTTGGCTGTCCTGGACTCACTTTGCAGACTAGGCTGGCCTTGAATGTACAGAGATCCTCCTGCCTCTGCTTCCCACAGTGCTGGGATTACAGGCGTATGCCACTGCGCCCAGTTATACATTCTGTATATATTCTTTCCAACCTGTCTTGTTGCTGAGGAGCCCGGAGACATTGGGGCTGCTTCTCTTCCTCAGGAGACTACCCACAGGCCCCCTTCTTCCCCTAAAGAATGCTATCCCCCTGCTTCCCACTGCCTAGGGCACAGCTGCAGACTTCCCACTGAGCTGCCCTGTCTTATCTGGCTCACTGTGTGAAATACTTCCACAACTGATTAGGACTCCTTATGCCTCCCGAACCGATGAAACCATAGATAGTTGGATAGAACAAGGAAGGGTCACAGTGTGAGAAAGCAGAAGACCCTTTGAGCTTTGTGTGACACGGGGTTTTGTGTGGCCCACACTGGCCTCTGAACTGGTCACTTGGCTGAGAATGACCTTGAACTTCTGATCCTCCCATGACCCCAAGTGCTGAGACTAACTGGTGTGCACCACAGGCCACAACGATGGGTGCCTAACATCAGCTTGGAAACTAGAAGGAAAGTCATGAAAATGCTCAGGTCTTGAGAACCATCGCCAGAGGGATATCAGTGAGGAGGATCTATGTCAGGTGCAGGGACCACCAGGGCACCAGGGTTGGGGCTTCCTCCAGGGTCCTGAGTACACTGAGGCCTGGATTACGGATCCTCCCCCACCAATCAGGAACACGCAAGCTTTTAGAAACAAAATGGAAAATCCTGACCAAAATCAACTAGACAAATGAACAACCCCTCCCCCCCCCGAATATCAGTCTAGAGGCCAGTGTTCTAAAAACTCCAATAATTCTAGATTCTCTAGTGAAACGAGGTCCCTGCAAACAGAGATTAGAGACCGAAGGAAGTAGCTTTGCACAATGGAGGTGACTTGGGGACACCAGCCTCATTACACATAGCCTATTCGCCCGGGGAAACTGTTGGGGTTAAATTCCTAGATAAAAGTGACCACAAAAGAAACCTTGTTAAAGACGGTGGCTTATGCCATATCCAAAGCAGGTCCCGAACTCACAGCAATCCTCCTGCTTCTGCCTCCCAAGTGCCAGGACCCCACACTTAACTACCTACCACACTCTGAGAACAAACTCAGTCAGCACGAGTCATGGAAGGACCCAGGTCCTTACCAGTGTTGTCCCGAATGCCCAGGGGCAGTGCTGGGCACGAATGTCTGAGGGAACCGATATCTGTGGGGGGAGTCTTGGCACTCAGGATGCCCTTGTGGCGTCAAGGGGAGCGGACAAGATAGCGTTTTTTACTGTACGTGTGTGCTGATATGCTCATGCCCTGAATGCCATACATAATATTCCACCCACACTTCTGGACTCCCACATCCGTTTGAGGGGCAGTTATAAAATACAGTCCAACTAGACACAAATAGACGTTCCAAACAGCCACTTCCCCATTCTTAACATTTACATTTTACCTATGTAGAGGTTAGAGGACAACTGTGGAAATTGATTCTCTCGGGACTCGAACCAAGATCATCAGGCTTGGTGGCAAACACCCTTCCCCACAGAGGTGACTCACTGGCCCCACTTTCTTATTTATTTATTTTTCAAAACGAAGGACTGACATTTGACTGCTCAGTTGCAATAGCTCTGCCCCTGGGATCTGATTAACGACTACACTCTGCTCAGCCTGCGCCAGGGGAAACCTGCGGCTCCTTTATCTCCCGTTCAGCAGACAGCAGGAGGGAATCTGGAGGGCCAGATAGACAGGGGCTACATGACAACATTCCTCCCCGCCTTTGAGGCTCTTTTCTCAGGCTTTCGGGATGGAGCTGGTGTGTGTGTGTGTGTGTGTGTGTGTGTGTGTGTGTGTGTGTGTGTGTGATGGGGGGGCTTCTGTAAGCAGCTTGAGCTTCTTTTTCTGGAACATTCCCTTGGAGATTCAGAGGGCTGTTCCCGCTCCCCCTTTCCCCTAGCCCTCTTCCTCCAGCCAGCAAAACCCCAGCTTAGATGTCAGGGGCTACCTGATACTCACTGATCCTGTGGTTGGGAGAATGCCCTTCCTGGCATCTGCTCCCGGAGGAACTCTCTTCTTACCTTATTAGTGGCTTAGGCTTCCCCAGGGCAACGGAGAGGCTCCCTGCCTGCCAGGCCCGCACATTCTCTCTCTGACTCATGACCTTCCCCACCCCCCACCTCCTGCTCCCACCCCCCACCCAGCTGGCTTTCTGCCCCTTAACATTTTGCATACCGACTCATTTCACTTGCCCTCTCCCTCCCTTATATCGAAACAACAACCCACCTTGCAAGACAGGCTCCAGGAGGCTCTGGCTCCCAGGAAGCTGCCTCACAAGAGCAGCTTGAATACCTTGAGGGTGGAGGGGTTCCAGGTCAAGAGATTCACTCCAGGTGGGCCAAGCCGAGGAGGCTGAGAGGAGGTTGAAAAGTCCAGTCTTCTAAGGCAGCCAGGTCAGGTCCCTTTAACGCATCGTGGAAAGAGAAAAGAGATCCCTGGAGCGCCAGGAGATGAAGTTGGAAGGGGTGTTGTCGGACAGTTATGTAGCCCGTAAGATTTTGTAAGCCTCTCTCCCTCCCGAGTTTTCACTCTTATCTCTAAGGAGACCATATAAAGATTATTTTCCCTGCAGCACACCTGTTTCTTCACTCCACCCGAGGGAGGTACACATTTCTTAGCTCCTGTGTCATATCCGACATCTTCGCCCTCCGTGCAGGAGGTTACAAATACGTACCCGGGCCAGGAGGATATGGATTTACTTTGTGTTTGGTTTGACTAAAGGGTGTAGAATTCTCCTTTACGACAAAAAGCAAGTTCTTGAAAAGTATAGCTTCTTAACGGCTGTGTGTTCGAGGGCAAAGTCATACACCCACTCCCGGCCACTTTATCTGGTTGCCAACAGTCTCAAACAACAGATACACGGGGAAAACCGTGAACTGCCATGGGGTACAGAGCTCTGCCTGGGGAATCAATAAGAAACGGACAATACCTACCTTACCTATTGTCAATGTTAGGGCTCGTGGGCACAAAGCCCCCTGCCCAATTTTACGGTACCAATAAGGGTTTAAAAGCGTTACTTATAAAGGCTCCAGAGATGGCTCAGTGGTTAGGAGCACGTACTGCTCTTGCAGAGGATCCTAATTCAGTTCTAACAGCCACATCGGGTGTAATTCCAGCTCCGGGGGCCTGAAGCCTCTGGCGTCTGTAGGCACTGGCACGCATGTGCACAGACCCCTCCCCCCAATTATAAATAAAATAAATCTTGAAGAGGTGTTAGCTATTATTGAGTAATGACTTACCTCTTTTTAATCAGCTGCTGAGGTATTTTCCAGGCTTCACAAAAGAGCAGCCAGGCTGTGCGGGGGTGAGTCACGCCCAGCTCTGGCAGATTCCCATCAGCTGTGTCTCCGAAGGCCTTATCATTGTACAAATGACAAGAACCTGCGGAGGCTCCCTCGTATTGATTTCAGTTGTGTCCCTTCCTTCCTTCCTGTTTCCTCCTGGCACAGAGGAGACAGGGTTCTCTTCACCCCAGTGGCTGTTCAGAGATGAACGCTGAAGAACTGGGAATGGATAGCTGTGTGCTGCTCTTGTGCTCTGTCTAGGAGAGGTCCTTGCTAAGTGTCAGAGGATTGGAGAATGCAGGACGGGCAAGGCAGGGGATACAGACTGCCAGCCACGCCGCTGGCCAGAGAGAGCTGCTGTGCGCCTCACCCCCCCCCCAATACATGTAGAAGTCTGTATAATGATCTGGCCATGGTGCCTCATGCCTGTTGCTCCAGCACACAGATCTGTCCCTGTCTCTCTGTGTGTGTGTGTGTCTGTTTACCTCTCCCATGCATGTAGAAGTCTATATAATTAGCCAGTCATAATGCCTTATGCCTGTCACTCCAGCATACAAATCTCTCTTTCTCTCCCCCCTCTGTGTGTGTGTGTCTGTCTGTCTGTCTGCTCACCTTTCCCACATGCATGTAGAAGCCTGTATAATTAGCCAGTCATGGTGCCTCATGCCTGTCACCCCAGCACAGAGATTTGTACCTTTGTTCTATCTCTCTCTGTGTGTGTTTGCGCCAAAAATGAGTGTCCAGTGTTTTCTTCTCTTGTCCTCTGCTTATTTATTTTTTTGAAACAGGGCCTCTCATTGAACTCAGAACTCACAACTTTGGCTAGGCTAGCTGGCCAGCAAGTCCCAGGGATTCTCTGTCTCTGCCTCCCCGGCACTGGGGTGACAGGCCTTTGCTGCCATGCTCAGCTTCCTTGGGTGGGTTCTGGGATTCAAACTCTGCTCCTCAAAGCAAGCACTCTGCTAAGCCATCCCAGACCTCTGGTTTTGCGTTAAGATCATTTAAGTTACAAAATACAGTTCGATACAATTTGTTAAAGGTACAATTTAACAAGTAAAGGCATCTCTTAATTAAAAACAAGAACGCAGAAACCCAAACCCAGAGCCTTACTAAAGGGCTGTCGTGTCCTTCTCCTCAAATGTCCCTGACTCAAGACTTGGGGCAGCTTCTTTCCTGACAGTCTGTGGTTTGCTTATAGTTTGTCCCTTTACAAGGTGTGGTTGGATTTTTCTCATTTTGACCTGTCTGCTGGGGGGATCCCATGATACTTACCTTTTGAGATTTTTCTCTTCATTCCCAAGTGCTGTGGTAAGATTCATGGTGCTGTTTCATGCCTTGTTCTTCCTGCTCTGTGTGTGACTGTGCCAATGCTGTCTCGTGGACTCTATAGCTGTTTACAATGATGACTCAAGAGGGCGGGCATGCACCCTGGTGGACGTTGACTTCACAGTATCTTTCACATTGTATCGTAAACATTTAGCCATGTCAGCTAATTCTTATTTCTTGTGTAGCCTAGGCTGGCCTGGAAATCACTATGTAGCCAAGGCTAGCCTGGAGTTTGTGATGACCCCTCTTGCCATAGCCTTGCAAGCGCTAAAATTACAGGCTCAAGTTGCTACAGCTGGCTACATAGGTAATGCTTTTTGGATGATGTCTTTTTCATTAAAACTAGGCAGGTAGCCACAGATTAATCTTTTTTTTTTTTTTAAAGCTAGCTGAGACTCCCTTAGAGCTTCCTCATAAGACTATCTGAGGAGCCCCCTGAGTCGTGTTGATTTTTCTCTACCAGTGGTGTGATCTGAAGGGGTGAGTCTGTTGAACCTGTGGCCTGCTTTGAAAGCACAGGTTCTCCACTGACATGTCTCCCTGTAGGATGTATCCTGGTTACAGTTCGGTCTCTTTGGAGAATACGGGCCCTCTGATCAAGAGTCTAAGTGGCTTGCTAGAGGCATCCCACCATTCCCTGGGCCTCCATTGATCACAGAGGGCAAGGGTGACAACATGCCTATTCGTTCTGATCTCTTATCTTTGGTAGTGAAGCTCATTGGGCTTTGGTTGCTGAACCACCAGAAGGACAGACAGCCTTTCCGATCTTGTGATTTCAACTTTTGTGAAACAAGCAATTTTTTATAAGTCCTTTCTTTAAATCACTATGTAGCCAAGGCTAGCTAGTTTTTCTAAGTGATTGAAACCTTAAAAAGTTAGCGAAAACACAAGCAATTATGATTGATCATATGCACGTTTTAAAATTTTATTCACTTTACATTCCCATTGTAGCCCCTCCCTCCTCTCCTCCTGGCCCCACCCTCCCTCCCTCTTCTCCTATCCCCCTCCCTCCAATGAGGCCAGGCAAGGCAGCCCCATCAGAGGAACGTGATCAAAAACAGGCAACAGAGTCCATGTCAGAGACAGTCCCTACTCCCCTTACTAAGGAACCCACATGAAGACTAAGCTGCCCATCAGCTACATATGTGTAGGGGGCCTAGGTTGAGTCCATGCATGAATCTTGGTTGGTGCTTCAGTCTCTGTAAGCCCCCTCGGGCTTAGTTGACTCTGTTTCTCTGTTGAAGTTTCTGTCCCCTCCAGGTCCTGCTATCCTTCCACGTTTCCACAAGACTCTCCCAGCTCTGCCTAGTGTTTGGCTTTGAGTCTCAGCATCTGTTTGATCGGCTGCTAGGTGGCGCCTCTCAGAGGACAGGTAGATTAGGCTCTGTTTACAAGCATAGCAGAGTATCATTATTAGTGTCAGGGGTTGGCTCGCTCCCATGAGGTGGGTCTCAGGTTGGGCCAGGCATTGGGTGGACAATCCCTCAATATCTGCTATCACTTTTTTTTTTTTTTTTGTAATTGTTACCATGAGGAAATCATTATCTTAAGAGAACTCCCATTAGTTTAACAGACATTAGGTATTAATATCTGAACTCTGAACTTTTTGTAATCTTCAATCATGAACATATGTCATCCTTAAAACCTTCTTGGCCACCAATGTTCTGTGCCTTAGGTTAACACTTTTTATATTTTGTTATCTTTTATGTGTCATTCTTAGGATAAAATCTTATTTTATCACTGTGTCATCAGTGACTGTCCTCCAAGCCAAGCAAGTACTATCTGGGGGAGTTCAGCTGTATCCCCTTGTAAAAGATCATCCAGCTGAGCTGGTGGGTGAACCCCCCCCCCCTCAATAAAGACATGGTATTCTCACCTGAGTAGCCAATGCCTCCCTACTACCTGACAACTTCAAGAATGGCCTGGGGAGAGGCTTTTTGGTTTTGGCTTTTTGTTTTTTGAGACAGGGTTTCTCTGTCCTGGAACTCACTCTGTAGACCAGGCTGGCCTTCAACTCCATTTGCCTCTGCCTCCTGAGTGCTGGGATTAAAGGTGTGCACCACCCCTGCCCTTTAAACTGTTTTTTAAGGGCACAATGGATTTAATTACTTTATTATTTTATTTAGTGTGTGTGGTGTTTTGCCTGCACCTTTGTTCATGCACCACATATGTGCCCAATGCTCACAGAGGCCAGGGGAGAGCATTGGATCCCCTGGAACTGGAGTTACAGCTGGTTTTGAGCCATCATGTGGGTCTGGGACCTGAACTCAGGTCCTTTGGAAAAGAGCAGCCAGTGTTCTTACAGCCATCTCTGTAGCCCCAAAGGCCACACTGTTTATGTTCTTGAGCTGTTTTTCAGTTCTCTTCCCTCTCTGTTAGAGGTGTGTGCATTCGTTGCTGTGTCCATGTTCATGTGTGTGTATGTGTATATTCGTGTGTGTATGTATGTGTGTCTTAGGTGGTGGAAAGCCCAGATGAAAGGCCTTGGAGGACTCTTTGAGACAATTGTGCTTGGATCTCAAGGTAGTGTGTGTGAATCTTGGTTTCAAAGCCAGCTTCTTGATGAGTTCAAACAGACATGACAGTTACTAATGTTAATATACATGCTATCTCCAGCACCCCGCTGTGTGCAGGTGGAAGGTCAGAGGACAAGCTCGCCTTTTATCTCGTTTGAGACAGGGTCTCCGGTCGCTTGCCTGCTCGTATGCCGGGCAGCTGTTATAAAAGCGCCTAGGGATTCTTTTGTCTCTGCCTCCTGTCTCACCCCACAAGTGCTGGGATTACAGATGTGTGCTGCGGTGTCCAGGTGGGTTCTGCTATTTTGAGCTTAGCTCTTCACACTTCAACAGTAAGTGTGAGTACACTTTACCCACTTCTGTGATGGGGGCTGTGCAGTCCGGTACTGGGGTCTTAAGGGCCATAGCACCAAGAGACATTCAAGTGCTCGGGAGTCTATCATGGGAAATCTCAAGAGGAAACACCCATGGAACGCTCTGCAATGAAAACACCAAGTGTGTACCCTGCCTAACGCAGTAACTGCTACAACATGGACCACTGGATGCTTGAAATGTGTTTCCGGTACTGCCACAGTGGGTTGTGTTGTTCAATCTCTTTCTTTTTGAGAAAATCTGGTAAAGGTAAGAACCCTTTGTCTAGAAAATGCTGTCTAGAATGAAAGAAAAAGGAGAAGGGGGAGGGGAAGAAGGAGGAGAAAGAAGAAGAAAAAGAAGGAGGAGGAGGAGGAGAAGGAGAAGAAGAAGAAGAAGAAGAAGAAGAAGAAGAAGAAGAAGAAGAAGAAGAAGAAGAAGAAGAAGAAGAAGAAGAAGACATAAGACATTTCTACAAAAGCCAGTGTGTGCTTCAACTGCTTCTCAAAGCATGGCTTCAAAGCATGCCCCTCTGGGCCCACTGCTTTCCAGAGCTGTGTGCTCTAGTCCTGTTCTTAATCTTTAGTGTCTATTGTCCAAAGTCCCAACACGAATGTCGAGGAGACTTTGAGTCAGCCATGAGCCAGCTCTGTGCTCTGCTTGGTGTGTGTGTGTGTGTGTGTGTGTGTGTGTGTGTGTGTGTGTGTGTGTCTGTGTGTGTTAGTCCTCAGCAGTCTGCTGGTGACTCCAGCCACACCTTCCTTTCCCCAGACTGTTTCTCCTTGGGACTTGAGCCTGGGGTTTCTTCATGGCTCTTCTTGACTGCATACAGTGTCCCTAAAAGAAGAAGTCTTTCCATGAGCTCCTTTTATACGATGGCTCCGGATTCCTTATTCTACTCAGTATTTGTCAGCCCGCAACATGGATACCAGGTCTGAAATTGATAAGGGATAGGGTGCTCTCCTACACTGGTCACAAGCCAAGCCCAAGGCATTGGCTAAATAGCTGTGTTTAGAGAATAGACCCTGAAGGAGCTTGGCTAATCTTCTGTGAGTTTGACTGTAGAATTGCAGGATGTACCTGCAGCTTAGAAGGGGGATATTAGTTGCTAGAAACATTACCATTAAATGGACAATTGCTTTAAGTAGAACCTGATTTTTTTAAAGGTGGGATCTGGCAGTGGGTACAAATGTAGGAATTCCATGGCAGAGAGATAACCCTAATCTCTGTGTCTGAAGTGTTTGTTTCCACAGCAGAAGAACAGGCTAGATTAGGGTAAATCAGAGTTAGGGGAAAAGAGAACGCACTGCTAAGTTTCTCACTGATTGTTGCTTTCTTGAGGCCCCTTGCCAGTGTACAGAGGATGATAAAGTGGGGGAGCAAAGAGCCAGGAGTTCCTAGTAAGGCCCAGGCATTATGATATGCCTTGATGGAATCAGAAGCTTGAATTGCTAGACAGCATCAAGCTTCTGGAATTCTACCTGGGTTTGAAAATGAGCCAGAGAGAGCTACAGACGAACCATGATTGCCTAATGGGGGAAGGGCATTAGTGTGTCTTCTGGCGGGCTGTTAACCCGTGTATTACACTGGCAGCCAAGGTCTGTATATTCTACCCCTAAACAGCTGTTAAATGCCCCCCATGTTAGTAGCCACTGTTTTTGCTTTGAATTTTTCTTGATTGAATATAAGTCAGTATCCCTCCCGCTCTCCTTTCATCTCCAGTCCTGTCCCTCCCAGGCTCCACTCAGCACTTGGTGTGATCATTTATCGTCTAACTCTAATCTGTACCGCTTCCTAGATTCAAATGCTGCATTGGAGCACATTATAGACAAGATTCTAACTCCTTGGCTCGCCATTAGGTGCCTCTTAAGAGATGGTGCTTCTGCTGTCTATCATAACCTCTTTCGTGTTATAAGGTTCAAAATATCTGTGGAGAGTATGTTGTAGGCCGGCTCTGTAGAGTGTTGCCACGTACTGTTATGCTTCTCCCCCCGCACCCCCAATGTATGTGCTGGAAGAGAAGACAGGCTGCGGCTGCGTTCTGGGGTCTGCTTTCATGGTTGAACATAGAG